GATTCGTCAAAACTTGATTGGTTATTAGACCAAATACATCATTTTATTAAAGATTCAATGCTTCGTCGAAACTTAGTTGGTTATGCTACCAAACGCTTCATTTTATTTAAGACTTATGGCTTTATCAAAATTTGGTTGGTTCATGAGAACAAACACATCGTTCTACTTATACTTTACTATTTCATCATAAAAAGACGTTATATTTAATAGACTTATGACTTTGAATTTAAAAGTGCCAACAATGATGTTGTGTGTTTTCACAATGAAGTTCATCCATTGCGATCAGCAACCATGACGTATTTATATTGCTCTTAAGAAAAAAGGAATCTTATTGCTGAAACTTTCCAGAAAGAAATGTGGACGACTTGGGAGTAAACGTTACTATTGTTTAATTTATTCGGAGGAGACTTTTTGACCCTTTTTGTTTGCGTTGACATAGTCAAGGCCATCATGCCTTCTTTTTTTTTTTTTTTATCTCCATATCTTATTTTTCATCATCCATAGCTTATAATTTATAGTATATAAGGCCCATATGAGCTTATGATTTGTGAAAAACACAACTAAGAGAATTAAGCACTACTTGTTTCCAATGGCCACCCTCATTTCTTCCATCTCTCTTACTTATTTTCTCGGTGCTTTTCTTCTATGCCCTTTGAGCTCTTTGAATAAGGGTTATACTTGTTGAAGGAGATGAGATTACAAAAAACTATCATCATACTATTAAAGTCAATTCTCTTCTGCCATCACTCGCTCGCAACCAGTCTTCTAAAGGTTTAATCTCTTTTTAGACTAAACTATCTTGATTTATTATGTTGATTGTATATATTCAATTTGGTTGATCTTCTTTTATTGAGATTGGTCGTGAAATTTGGGATATGTTAAAAAATATCAATAATTAAATATCATGTCTAATTGTCTTTGTTAATGATGTCAAGTAAAAAATTTATTTTTTATTTGTGTTGTTTACACAATACGAAAAAATATTAATGGATTTTTTTGGCCATTTTTTGTTACTTTTCCGTTTAAGTATAATCCCTTAAAAAAAATATTCACTCCAAAAGCTTTATCCGTTTTTATTTCATATGAAAACTATACACAAACAAATAATGGTGTTATCTAAGAAATTTATTTCTCAATTAAATATTAAATAAAATCATTATATTGCATGTATTTTTTTTATTCGATAGTTAAAAACTCATTTGAGATGTAAATTATCATGCTAATTTAAGGTCTATGCATTTCGGTTTTCAACGGTTTATCCCCGGAAGTAGTGCACGGGTTTGGCCCATGCATTCAACTACCGAATCAAGAAAATGCAACAAATGCTACTCCTATCATGGAAATCCTCCTTCGAGACCAACTCCGAGTGGACTCAATTCATGCTAGGCTCTTAAGTCACCGCACCAAAAAGGACATTGCGGGCGGTTTTTTTGGCTTTTAGAGACAGTTATAACCGCCTCTACGGATTGTAAAGGCGGTTTTGAGGATCGCTCTAAGACCGCCCGCAATGCCGTCGTCTCTACAGTATAAGGGTGGTTTTGGCAATCGCAGGGGATTTCGAGGCAGCTTGTTTGGGGCGGTTCAAACCACCTCAAAATTTTTTTTTAGGCGGTTTGACGATACCAATATTATCATCAAAGTGGTTTTGCGCATAATTTTTGGGGTGGTTTAGAACCGCTTCTACGTTTCAAAAATTTGTAAATTCAAAACCGCCCCAAACTATAAAATTCATAATTTGTACAATCGCCTCTACGTTCCAGATTTTATAATTCGTGCGTAATAAATGAATTTTGTTTCAAATTTATATGGATTTTATAAGTCATCCTTCGAATTCAATTTTTTTTTATTTTGTCAAAAATAAATAAATAAATAATCTTGTTGAATGCAAATAAAAGAAAAATTATATAGCTTACACAATATTCTTAAATTTGTAATTATCAAATTCCAAATACATAAAAAGTCATCAAACATTCACAAGTGAAAAAAATAAAAACTGAAGGATTAAATGACATGTTATTGCTGATTATGTGAAGGGGTTTAACGCATCCGAAATGGATGGGATTAGCATCAGAATGTCCATGAATTTGATCTTCTAATGAGAGGGTTCTTTTGTTTTTCTTCTTCGAGTGCCACCATACCCAAATGCTAAGGGTCTTCCAACAACATTTTTGCCACCAAGTAACCGGTAATGGATGAGATTTGGAATTTATGAGCTCGTTTCCCAATGTATTGACCAAGCTTCCCATCGTAATATTCCAGCCAGCTGTCTTTCATTAATCTTGTTTCAGCGAAGCTCAATAGCACGTCTTGCAATTTGGGGGCATCCGAGTCTTGATGCATGCAACGGTGAGAAGCCACAAAACCACCGGATCCATTGCAATAGCCAAAATGTCTCAAAGATAATCTCAATAAGGAAGTACATAAAAACAATGAAGATTTTAAGTAGGTATATAAACGAGTGTGAACAGGCTTTAATACCATAGACGCAGAATATACTAACTAATCTTTCAATCGAAGGCCAAAACTCATGAAAAATTGCACAAAAAATAGTTAAAGCTCATAAATGACGGATTGTTTATAAAATCCATTATTGTTGTTGATTGTTCAAGGGTTGCCAAGGATGATAGAGTTTCAATACAATTACCCAAGCAAAACCAACGAAGTCCATTCTTGCGGGACTAACATTTCCAATAAAGTAACCACCATGGATTGGCATAAAATCAAAAATCCATTACGGAAGAGAATCGAGTATTACATTAAACTTGTTAACGAGCAGCATGAGAGTATTCCTCTATTTTATAGTGATATTTATCATTAAGCTATTCAAGTCAATCCAATAATAACTCATTATGTGAAAACTTAAGGCATGAAGGCATTAAGCTACTTTTACTTGGTTTGAGCATGCTATTGCTAATTATGTGATTTACATACTTCATCTTTGTTGTAAGATGTAAATGACGGATATAAGTTCAATAAATTTAGAACAATTTCCTTAAACTAACCAATTCACACAAGATCATATGGAATGAAAGCAAGAAAATAATTTAATTAGTAGACATAAAATTATCATATAAACAATCTAACTTCAAGCAGTATCGACATTAGCATTCACTTTGAAAACATAATATTTTTATATAGATGTTATCGGTAGTAAAACTCGGCTTTAAGATGCTATTCACTTTGAAAACACCCAATTTTTTTCTACTTAATAATGGCCAATATTAACAAATAACAAAAAGATTCTTATTCTAAACATAATTAGAAGAATCTAAATCTACAATCAACAATGAAAATTACCATAGTTTCAGCATCGGATGGAACCAAATTGGGCGAATCTATCATTTCGTCCATGCATTATTCCTCAATTTACTTTAAGCCCAAAATCCGAAAACGCTCACACAAATGAAAAAGAAAATAAAATCAGCTATCCCAATGAAACTTCATTAAAACTCACAAAAAAACACCACTCTTCCAAATGAGTTAAGAAATTGAAATACGGATAGTCAATTTCCATGTATCTAAAATCAATCTTAAAAGATTACACATAATTAATAGTAGTATTATTCTAATACGAAGGTACAAAAGACGAGTTTTGAGGAGTACTTACACAATAGCTAGTTGTATTCACCGAAACTTATCTCCAAACTAGTTTATGCATTTTCAAGTGACAAATATAGACTCGAAGTAACAATGTTGAGAAAATCCGTTTCTTCTCCGACCAAAGTAGACATAACTCTGAAATGAATTGTTGATATTGATAGAAAAAAACCTCAAAAAGATCCTGACAGAAATTAAGAAAAACAAGATATGACTCTCATATGAACAAGACCATTTCACTTATGAGATTATTACCTAAATTTTGAAAACCCAACAAGATATGACTCTCATATGAACAAGACCATATCACAAGAAAAACTAATTGATGAGCGGTAGGCTAATAGCCAATAAGCCTATTACTATTAACTCGATGTGGTCTCTATCCTTACCAAGAATTTGGATGATAAAGACCTCCCCCAAAACAAAACTATAGCAAGGCTTCTAGTTGGTCATACATTGAAACAAATACTTTGCAATATTATGCTCGAAGCATAACTTTCTTTGAAAAAGCAAAAAGCGAGAGAACAACGATCAAAGCAATTTCTCGTCCCCTTTCTTGGGCTCCACGAGGTTATGGACATAATGAAACGTAAAGCAATTCAAAGCTTAAGAGGAGATGTGGTTCCGATTTAAAGACAAAAAATTTTCCGGATACAAAAACGAGAGATTATTAGAACCTTCCATCCATTATATCATCAAAATAACAAATATATAATAGCTTATGGAACAAAAAATTCATGAATTCTTGATTTCACCGACAATTAAATTCCTTCTAAAAAAGAGAAATTGAGAAAGAGTGAAGATACTATACCATATCAACGATCACCGAGTGGAGGTAGTGTTTTCTCCGTTGTCCGTCGTTATGTATCGTCGACCACGTCGTCTTCACCAAATGGTAAATTAAAAATGAATCCCGTATCAAACACATCTCGTCGTTTTTGTATTTCTACATAGCAAGAGATATCAACCGAAATGAAAATGGTAAGAAATGAAACAACGATGAGGAATTAGGTAGGCAATGGAAGGTTGAAGAAGGAGAGGGAAGAGGAAGAGAGGATGAAAGAGAACCAAAAGAATCCGTATGCTTTGGAGTTAGACAAAACTGAAATGGAGTTGAGAAGAATAGAGTTTGAATAGGATAGTGTATTCACCGTGGCTGCAGAAATTGAAAAAGGGGAAAAGAAAAAACCTAGAATTCGAAGAGGCGGGGAGGGATAATGAATGGGTTTTTTTTTCCCTTCAGAACTCAAATAAAAAAAGGTGGGGTGCCTACTAATTAGAAAGTGGGGCGATTTTATCACCCGCCGTATATAAGTTATGTGTAAAAGTAAAATTATAAAACTTTGAGACGGTTTTGTTGACTACCTCAAATGTTCCGCCACTATGACCTTTTTTTGGTGTAGTGAGTCGTGGTGTTTTTCCAGATAAGCAGACTACATTGCCTGTCCAGTCTGGTGCATCCATTGGTGCTGGTGATTATGTTGTTACTGTGGGTCTTGGTACGCCGAAAAAAGAATTTACACTCATATTCGACACCGGTAGCGACGTCACTTGGACTCAATGTGAGCCATGCGTGAAGTCTTGCTATGAACAGAAGGAGCCAAGGTTAGATCCTACAAGTCAACATCATACAGGAACATTTCGTGTTCCTCTTCATCGTGCAAATTAATCAACAGAGGTAACTACTCTTCAGAGAATTTCTCGATCTTAGGTTATTGGAGTTTTATAGACAATAATTGTAAATGTACATTACCGAAAGTTGTGGTGGAGTAGCAAGAAAAATATTTCTGACTCACTAGATCAGAAAATTTAATTCACTTTTAGAAAAAAAAATAAATAAATAAATAATAAAAAATAAAAAATAAAATAAAATTCTTTTGTGTGGCATTGAACATAGTGTTAGTATATTCGAAAAATCCAACCTTAGAATCAACCAAAGACATGCCAATATATATAGATGCTATTTTAAATATTTAATGAATCGTACAGCTTATAGCGACATATGAAACGCTGCAATTGCCTATGTCTAACAGCATGTGTGTTCATTTAGTGGCAATTGTAATAATTAAGTTTTATTCACATTGGATTTTGCAGCATTTATGCCAAATGCTAGTCGTAACATTTCTCATAAAAATCCAAGGTCAAAGCCTACCTTAGTTGCCATTCAAGATAAACAAACAATTAATCCCACTAATCATGAATAATGAAGGCAGACTATAAAATTTATTTGTAATAGCATTGTCCTCACAATGTTGGGGTAGTTCTCAAAGATTGCCCCCAAGAACTCAATTTGTTGTAGAAATTTTTTAATTATACGATTGACCTATAAACAATTTGATTCGTGCTTATCATCTAATATTTGATTCAATTCTAATTTTTCGTTTTTATAGGAAGATATTGGTAATAAGGTACAATTCGAAATTTGAACCATGAGGATTGTTATCTAAGCATGGTTGCATTTACCCATTATGCAGAAGGTGAACAAGGTTGTTCTTCCTCGACATGCCTTTACCATGTCGAATATGGAGATGGCTCGTACTCTGTTGGATTTTTTGCCACAGAAACCTTAACCCTCACATCAAAAACGTGTTCAAGAACTTCGTGTTTGGGTGCGGCCAACAAAACGATGGCCTATTCGGACGAGCAGCAGGTTTGCTAGGACTTGGTCGCACTGAGTTATCCTTACCATCACAAGCAGCTAAGAAGTTCAAAAAGCTCTTCTCTTATTGCTTACCAGCATCCTCCAGCTCCAAAGGTTACCTCAGTTTCGGTGGAAAAGTCTCCAAGACCGTGACATTCACTCCGTTATCCAAAGCCTCTGAATCCACGCCTTTTTACGGCCTGGACATAACTGGACTTAGTGTCGGAGGACACAAACTTTCTATAGATCCATCAATTTTCTCAACTTCAGGAACCATAATTGACTCTGGCACGGTCTTCTCGAGACTACCTCCGACAGTATACTCCGCCCTAAGCTCAGCATTTAAAAAATTGATGACAAATTATCCTTTGACAGGTGGGAATTCTTTCTTCGATACTTGCTATGATTTTAGTAAATACGATAAGATTAGGATTCCCCAGGTCAGTGTGTCCTTCAAAGGCGGAGTCGAGATGGAGATCCATGTGAGGGGAATTTTGTATCCGGTGCAAGGATTGAAGAAAGTTTGCCTAGCTTTTGCAGGAAATGCTGATGATAGTTATACTTCAATTTATGGAAATGTTCAGCAGAAGACTTATCAAGTAGTCTATGATGGTGCCAAAGGAAGGGTTGGATTTGCCCCTGCTGGTTGTAGCCAAAATGACCACAAAAAAAATTCTCGAGTAATTTAGAATATCCATAATAAATATAGCAATAAGGAGTAACTTGAGTCTAAATGAACGGAAGATCAGCTTATATCATCTGGACATGAGCTCACAGGAAATAGGAGAAATAGGAAGGTGGGTTTGATAGGTAAGAAAGTATGCATACAATATATGGTAATAATCTCTCTACAAAGGGACCGACATTCAATTCTTCGTTGCTTTGCTTTGTATATGCAAAGAGTACCAAAACGTATTCTAGCTGAATAAAGGGTTAGGAGATGCTTCATATCGTTGAAGTTACACTACAAGAAATCTGTCAATTATCAATGTATAATTCCGTGACTAATTATCACCAATCTGTCACAATAGTACATTAGCGACGGACTTGTACCGGAAAAAATTACATAGCCAAAATGAGTGTCGTTAAACCTTGTGATGGATTCAACAATGTCCATCGCTAGCAGATTATTCACATCGCTTAATGACAACAGAGCACCTTAAGAACCACGCAAAATCATATATAATCCATCACTAATTAACAATAAACAAACCATCGTTGGATTCCAAAGCTAATATCCGTCACTAATCCATCTCTCGTTTTAGTTGCTATTCGGATGTTATTTGGCGACATAATTGTTTTCCATCATTTTTTAACCGAATTTAAGTTATTTTTCCCTAATCCATTGCTAATCCATAGGTATTGCGTCGTTATTCCATCACAATTTTGTTGCCGGTTCAGTCACAAATTTTTTTCTTTAATTTAATTTTGTTTTTTTAATTTAAAAAATTTTGATATTCTTAGTAGTAACTCATAATTAAAACAAACAACTTATTATAAAGATTGAGTTTTTTTATTAAAATTACAATATTATAAATTAAAATAAACTTTATATTTTAAAAATTATTTGTTACTATGTAAGAAAAATATTAAAAACATAAAAGAAAAAGGAAAAGTCACCGCATATCATGTAATCTCCTCTTCTCTTCCTAAGGCTCGGTGGGAGGGACAATGGAATCATGAAACTCGGCGGGAAGGAGTGTGTCATGCTAAGGCTCGGTTAGAGGGATAATGGTGCCCGGGGACTTACTAGGAGGGAGTGTGGAGTAGTCGCCGATGGAGGGGTCAATAGGCAAGGGAGTCGGTTGCGCCATCCTCTCTAATGTTAATTAAATCGAATTTGTCTTAGCCTCCATCCTCTAGATCTTCATCTCGCTACTATGTGATAATGTTGTTCTGCTCATTTAACTTCTCCTGCAATGCCCTCATCATCTCTTTGTATTGAGGTGGAGGTTGTTCAATAACAATAGGGTCGTGTAAGCTGCAATGCTATGGAGGAGTAGCTGGTGCCAAGCGATTGGGATAAATAGTGATCTACCTCCGACCCCATCCCATAAAGCCTCTTTTTCTTCTCCCTTCCTATGGCATCGAAGTATATGGCATTCATGTCGACTCGTGCCTCCTCAATTCTAACCTCTCACTCGCTTCCTTACGGATTCTTGTATCATCTCCTTCATACACTCTTCCTTACATATTTTGTTTCATCTCCAAAATTCCAACCTCTTGCTACTTCCTTATAGATTCATACATAATAAAATTTAAAATAAGTTTTTAGATTAAATTTTCATATGTATAATATAAAAATGAAAATAAACTTACCATTATAGACTAGGCCCATAAATCGATGACCCAATTTCATAGTTTGAAAAAAATTGACATAAAAAATATATGAGATACAAATATTAATTTCTTAAATATTTAATAATATATGATAGGATTTACTAAGGGACGGGCGTGCTCGAAGCGAGATATGGACCCTCTTGTATGCTTAGATGGTTCTAAACCAGGACCACCAATCTCCGACATTTGATTACATGATGCCTCCTAGGAATGCGATAGATGATCGGGTGTTGCAAAATCTTGCTTCCATAAATCCCACACTTCCCGCCTAACAAAAAAACATCTTTCGTCATGCGTATAATGCTTGCCTCCCAAGCATCTCTAACCTCGCACCTTGATCGTCAATTCCCAATAAAAATACTACATGAATAAAAAAAATTAATATTAGTTCATTTCATATTAAATTAATATTTTAAATAAAATATAAATAAATAAGTAATGCTTTATCTTAAACTTATTGTAGTAGAATTGTTTCATCTACTCCAAAACGGACTTCTATGTTGAGCCATCGACGTTCAACAACTCTTTGAAAATCATAGTTATCCTTCGAAAGCAATCTCTTTGACATGGTACACAACTATCGAATACCAAAATAAACATGTAATAATTACTTAAATGATATATTAAATTTTTTTTAAAAAATAAGGTTTGAAGTAAATTACTTACCGACAATTAACAATTAAAGCTAACTATTGAATATCGGAGTCTCGAAGCTTTCCGAATAGGTAGATACATCAATGGATAACGGAATCCTCGAGGGAGGATAGGGAAACTTGATGATCATGTGAGCCGGATAAATGGTCGCGAGATGTAAACATCAAAGCCGATGCAAAACTGTTGGTTTTGATGGAGGAATAAGTCAAACATCCTATGTCATTGGACCCATAAAGAGAGCTCGAAGATGAAGAACCACGATCGATGTTAGATGGAGAACCATGTCCGATTCCATCAAGCGATGATACACGTCCATGACTACCCGATCGTGATCCCCGAAGAGGTACGGGAGGTCGGCACGAACCATGTGTCATAGCTTAATAATATCACCTAAGACAATTAGACAAAATACAACAAATATATTATCAATTGTAAGCATAAGAAAAAATAATTTTGAAAGCATCTCTAGAAAATTGGATATTTTCTAATTACCCGATACACAAACTACTTAAAACATAACACAACCATAATACAAAACCACATTTTGAAATTATATGAAAGTCAATATGATATATTGTAACAAATAAAAAAACAAAAGAATACATCATTTCTTATTATACAATTAATAAAATTAATATTTAATTACAACCATTGTAATCACTATTTAAGTTTTCATCTCTCTCATCCGATACGGATTCATATTCATTATCATCTTCTTCGTAAGCCTCAATTAATTCTATGTCTACAAATAATCCCATTAGCTCATTCAATAATAAATCATCACCAACTTCCGTATCAAATCATGTTAGATTTCTAAATCGTTCGTTGAAATGGTTTAACACTTTATTTAACTACTACGGATGATTCGAGCAACTCAAATATAGACTTAGCTTTGATCCGACAAATAGCCCACCAATCTCGATTATTACGCCTACGCTAAGGTAATCGACATAATATACTTAAGCCAACTGTGATGCTAGGACAAAAGGTTCATAATTCCCCAACCTTTTTTTATAGTTAACATCCATCAATCTATACTACGAGATGAACCTTTGTTCCTTGCGGTGTTGGATTGAACCAATCGTATTTGAACAAGACTGGTCTCTTAAGTGGCAATGCGGGATACTCTACTTGTAGAATTTCTATCAATATTCTATAATAGTTGCTATCGGTTGGTTCTTTTAATGCACACACCACTATTGAAACTCTTTGTTTCGAACCTTCATAAACTATGCAAAACCTATACCCATTAACAATATAACCTCGATACGACCTCACAATATGCAAAGAGCCTTGTGCTAGATCTTTTATGAACTTGTGTATTATAGAAATTGCTTGTGCATATTTTGGCTGAAAATTCAACATTAAATCCATTAAAGGTAAATTACCATTTAATTAAGGCTACCTCCTGTCATAACCCAAAATTTCCCCATAATTTTTTACTTATTTATTTAATTATCATCATCATCATCATCATCATCATTTATTGTTGTTTATGTCTTATTTTATTTTATTTTATTTCATGTTAGAGTTTACTACAAAAAAAAAACCCAAAAAAAAATAGAAAAATGATAAAAATACAAATAATAATAATAATAATAATAATACAAAAAAGGAAACTATGTGGAAAATACAAAAAAAAATCATCCAGAAGCATAATTGCATTTAAAGAAAGGTGTAATTGAGACAATTAGGGGGTACAATTGAACCAATTCAAAAATTCAAAACCTAATTACACCCTACAAAGACCCAATTGATAAAATGGCACCGAAATTACACAATAGGATGGCATGATTGTGGATAATTGAAATTCACGGGGAACAAGTTGGAACTTCGGAGCAAACGACGGGATCGAAGTTTAGTGGACAACCTGTCGTCCCTTCCAATCTGAATTCTCTTCGAAAATCTTTATAAAAAATCTTTCCAAATCTTCCACTAATTATGTTTTTTATTTTTGCATGATTCTTGCTGATTCCTTTCCTTGTTTGTTTAGATAATCGAATATCAATTTAAGATTTAATAGTAAATTCGAGGTTTGATTGTGTGATTCTAATAGAAATTTAAGCGAATTCATGCCTATAAAAATGGTTTGAATTCACGGACAAAGGGAGAGGAAAAGTTGAAAAGAAATTTGGGGATTTCTAGGTCGTTAGTAGTGAATTGGGTTTGTCATTTTTTGGGTAATTCTTTTGTGGGCGGCTATTGAGCAATGTTCTTCAAGGACTTAATTTACGGGTAAGTGTTTCTCTGCTTAGGGGGAATGAGGAAAGAAAAAGAAGGAGACTTCTACGTTAAGAGAGAGTAAAAAAGTCAAAGGATTTTTGGGGAAATAATTACTTTATTTTTTTGGGTTTTACGGGCAATAGTGGGGTGTTCTTCGTGTTCTTTATTTTTGGGCTCGAGTTCTTCCTCTTTTGGACTCATTGCTTGATCTTTCTTGGTTTGGGTTCAATTGTTACAAGTTTCTTAACTTTAATTTCTGGGTTTGAAGTTTAATTAGTATTTTTTTTTATTTTTCCCACCAAATTTTTTACGCAGCGTTTGAACATTCTTGGTGTTCTGTGTTTTGCATTTTGGAGTTCTTCACATTGTTGAACTCTAGTTCTTCGATCTTGAATTTGCTCGAGCATCCACAATTCATCGATAATTCCCTAAGTTCTCCCCAAAGCATCCTAAGGTTCCAAGTCTTTTTTTTGTTTCCTAAGAACAATAATTATCCATTTAAGCCTACCGGGTTAGTATTCATTTTTTTTTCTTTTCTTCATTTTCCAGTTTTGATTCTATTAGCTTTCATTTCAAATGATAGTTAATTATTCATTTAAGCTTTAGATTTGGTGTTTGATTGAGATGAGAACATGAACATGGTATGCTTTCTATCTTGAACAAAGCTTTAATTCTGGAAAAAAAAACTAGAAAATAGAAAGAGGAAGTTAAGAACACGATAAATAGGAGAGAGAAAGAATCGAAGGTTGAAAATCTATGTTTTGATAGAACAAATAAAGGACATGGGCTTGTTTTTGGTTTGTAGCCCAATCAAAAAAAAAAAAAAAAAACAAGGGCTGGACTGATTTCATTTCAACCCAACCCGATCTACGAAAAAAAACAAAAAGGACTAGATCGAGTTCGGTC